CGGCGGAGCCGCGGCGCGAGGCGCCGCTGGCTGGGGTCGTGGTCCCACCTGCGGGGCGAAGGCGCGGGGGCGGGCGGGCCGCGCGGCGAGGGGTGCGGTCGCTGGTTGGCGTCACCTGGGTTCGCGCATCTCTGCATGCAAACATGATCGCCTTTGACACTCGGCAGCAAATTGTGCGACGCTTATGCCTCTGCACGGCATACACCAAAGCATCTGGGGGTGCGCACGCAGTGCCGCGGCGGCCGCAGCGGCGGCGTCGGCGGCGCCTCGTCGCTGCCCACCTGCCAGCCATGACGTCCGGCGCAAACAGGAGCTTCGCGAGCCGCATGCCCGGCTGCCCCGGCGGCAGCTGGGCGGACACGTGGGAGGCTGCGAGGATCTTGAGGCGCTTGACGAGGATCTGGACGAAGGGCAGCACGATTAGCAGCTCGGTGGCGAAGTGGGGGAGCTCGAACATCTGGGGGAGGGGCGGTGGTTTGAGGGAAGGAACCGGTGCAAGTCGGCAAGTGGATCGTCAGAGAGCGCCAAAGGGGGCATGCGCGCGTGTGTACGTTCGTGTGTCAAGAGCGTGTGTGTGAGTTTGTGCGTGCGCGTGTCAGTGAGTTTTTCGTTGTGATGTGCGCATGTGAGATTGCGCGGATAGGCAGCGTGGCCCACTAATGTCTGAGTTGGGCGCAAGCTGTCTGTCATTCAGGGGGCATCAGCGACGCGAGGGCATCGTACGTCGCGCGCCCCGAACCCACAGCGCAGGGCCGCGTCCTGTCCCCCTTCCACGCTCCCGCCGCGCCATGACTGCCTAATGGGCCCGCGCGCACCATGCTCGTGCACTCTGCCCCCCACTTGGCCTCCCATTGGTTGAGGTAGTAGGGCACCAGCCGCCAGCAGACAGACACGAACGACTCAAACGTCACCGACTCCTCGCCTGCCGCAGTTTGCAAGTGGGCGGCGCCGGGCCGGGCGGCACGGCTTGGCAGAGGGGCGGCGACGCGCCGGCTGCAACCCAATGAGGCGAGCCGCAGCCTGCCTGCGAGCGGCTGGCGGCAGGGCCATAATGACCTCGCCCTCACAGGCCCAGCCACCGCGCACAGGCAAGCGCCAGCGCGTCATCCTTGGGCGGCCGGCCCAACAACCCCCTAACCCCCCTCCTCCTGCGCCGCGCTGGCTTGGGCTGTGAGACCACACAGGTCTCGCGCGGCCGCGTGTCTCACCAGGCAGGAAGCCGTTTAGGGCGAGCTGCACCAGCAGGCGCTGCGCCCCCAGCGCCGACGACAGGACAAAGTTCCACAGCACCTGCCGCGGCGGCCGCGAGGGTTTGGAGCGTTTCAGGCACGACGGGGTCGGCACATGCATGCGGCAAGCGGAACGCCCTCGCGCTTTGGGCGCCGCGGGGGCGGCCGCCCGTGGCGCGCGGCGCGACGTTCACGCACGCCACCGCCCACATCCGTTTGAAAACCGACCCCCCGCTCCCGTTGCAGCCCTGTGCTAGCCAGCGCGCGGCCGGCGCACGAACACCATAACTCTGGGTATGCACATCCACATGCGCCACGCGCCCCCGCGGCAGTCCCTGCCGCCCACCGCTGCTTTGAACCAGCCAATCTTGTTCCATCGGAAGTCGCAGGTGCAATACTGCATGTCGCGGCCGCAAAAGAAGTACACGTCACCCCACCCCTGGCGGCCGCGCATGCGGCGCGGGCGGGCGGGCGGGCGGGGGCAGGTGGGGCGCAGGCGTCAAGGGGGTTGAAGGTGGGGTCTGCGGGAGGGCGCGGCGGCGATGCAGACAGGCGGCAGCAGCGCGATGCCGCCCGCCTGGCATATCAGGAGATTGTAATGCAAGCCAGGCCAGCCGATTGCGTTCTGGTCTCCCCAACAGAGCCCCGTTTGCAACATTGAGGAGACGCGCGGGGGCTGAGCGTGCCGCCCGAGGCGCCGCCACCCCCGCCTGACCACCCACACGCAACCCGCCCAAGCGCCGCCCAAGCGCCTGCCTGCGAGGGCCGAAGCCGGGGCCCCAGGGAGGAATCTACCTGGAAGCTGGGGTCTTCCTCCAGGAGGGCCATCAGGAACACACAGCTGCCGTAGCCCCAACCGACGAGAAGCTTCTCCCCTTCTGTCAGGGGCCCACCCCACGGCCGCACGCGCGACCGCAGCTGCAGGTGCGCCGTCCAGGCGGCGGCCGACGCCAGCACCCACGTGATTGGCGCAGGCGCCCACTCGATGGGCAGCGCCTGCCACACCACAAAGGCGACGGCGGCGGCGACGATCAGCTTCATGGCGGCGCTCGCGGCTCGGGCTGGCACCACGCCCCAAGCTGCAAGCGCGGCGCGCTCGGCGCCGAGTGCCGCCGGTGCTGCTCTCTACACCCTGCTGGATGAGAAGCGTTGGTACTCCTCCGACACGCCCTAGTTGGACGTGAGGGCGTGCTGTTCTACAGCTGGTATGTGGGATCGCTCAACCATGCAATGTTGTGATCGCTTATCGAATTACAATGGCTGACCTGTACGCACTGATTTAACACCTTCATGCCTCGGGTTTCGATTTGTGTACGCGCTGCCTGGTGTGACCAGTAGTGCCACCGAGAGACATGATTAGTCGTCGCGTCGTCCGGCGCATTTCTAAGCAAATAGTTACTAAATTCTTCACATAGATAAGAAAGGGCTCTGAAGCGCCGAGACAGCCCGCTCCACCGACCCGCCCCCGTGCGCGCTCGGACACGAGCCTGATACTGCTGCATCAAACCTGAAAACTACAGGCGCACTATAGACGGGCGGCGACGTGCTGGTAGGGCCTTCCTGGCGCACTGGTCACGGGCGGTACACCGGCGGGACAACACATGCACCACATGTCATGCACGACAAGACACGCCGTTTTGGGATCGTTTAGCCCTCTAACAAGGATAGATTGCGGCGCAGGGACGCAGCAGTAGCACCCCGGCCTGCCGCATCGGCAGCGCGACGGCAGCGCGACCAGGCCGCAATGCGACCGTCATCCTGCGCCAGTGCCATCAGGCGCCGGTCAAGGGGCTCCCGCGCCATGCGAGCCCCTGCGCGCGTTGCATGCGGCTGGCGACGCGCACGTTGGTTCCCGCAGCCATCCATGCCCAAAGCCAGGTGCCCTCAGTGCAAATCTTTGGCACATGCCGGCAGCGGCGGGGGCGCCCCCGCTGACGGCTGCTGCGTGAAGCGCTGGCGGCGGCCCCCGCGGCCCCGGCGCCCCCGCGGCCGGACACGCCCACATGCACAGGTGCCGCGCCGCGCCGCGCCGCGCTGCGGCCCCGCCAGCGCAGTGCAGTGCAGCAGCCCTGGCTTCGCCACCGCATGCAGCCGGCATGCGCTGACATTTGTGGCTGGGTGTCTGCTGGAGCTGACCTCTGCACAGTGTGGCCCTGACGCCCCGGGGTTGGCACAGTATTGGCCGTTGCATCAGCGAGCCGCATCCCAATGCCACCGCCAGCACTGGGCGGCCGCGGCGGAGGGGGCCCGGCGAGCGCCGGCAGCGTCGAGCGGCCGCATCTGTACTGCCCGTCCAGCGTCCCGACCCACTATCTCGCCGCCGAACCCCTGACGCAGTTGCAACCCGCTCATAGGAAGCCCCCCCTGCTCCAGAGGGACAGGGTTGGAGCGGCAGCCCCTCACCAGCTCGAAGCGCGTCGCCCCAACCCTGTGAAGCTGGCGCTGCCCTATCGCCGCTGTGGCCTGATGCCGCAGCGCACCCCTTCCCCCGCCACCCCTTGGCTAGCTCTGATTCTACACAGGTGGCGTTTGGGCTGTTACACGCGCTGCAGCATGCAGGATCCAGGAAAGGCGTGAACACGCACGCGAGGCGCTCTGCAGCTCCGCTGAAGCCGCCGCCGCCTAAAGGACGCGGCTGCGGGCGGACGGGCGGGTCGGCGCACGCGGGTGCGCCGCGGCCCGCCGCGCGGCTGCAGACCCATGAAACATGCAGTCGGCAGCTGCCCGTCGCGAGCGGCTGCCTGCTAGGCCTGGACGGGCGCCGCACCGACGGGCGCGAGACAGGCGCTCGCCCGTGGTGCCGACAGCAGACGCGGGTGAGGGGCGTTTGACAGGTGGGGCTTGTCGCGCAGGTGTGTGTCATGCCGCATAGCTTGCCGCATGAGATCAGCGGCTGCAAATGCAGGGAGCCAGAGGGGCGTGTGCAAAAAGGAGAGGAGGAGAGCGGGGACAGAAAGAACTGGGCAGCCGACGAGCAGTCTTGAGGTCGACCTGGAAAGTCGCCCTGCTGACTGGACGTGACGTCACCGAACCTAGAACACACGAACGAGCGACACGACAGGCACGCGGGTTTCAGAGCGGCCACGTCCGCTGGCCGCCAGCGCCGGCGGCGCGCGAGAACGGGGCAATTGCTCGCTTTTCGCGGGCGCGATGCGGCGCCATGCGAGGGGGCGGGGAAAAGGCGGTCGCGCGGCATGTGGCCCCCAAACTGCAGAGCCAGCATGCAGCACCCCGCATTGTTGGTCGCCCTGTCGGGCCCTCTGCAGTCTGCACACAAGAAAGCCCGCAGCCCCGAAACAACATGCAAGCGCCTGTGGTCATCTGCCTATGGCATTCAGTCAGACGGTCATCTGGCGCGGCGGCCGCAGCGGCGGCAGCGGCGCTCAGCTCCGCTTCTTTGCCACGCCAATCGCGGCGCGCCGCGGATGGCAGCGGCCGTCGCGGGCGGAACGGCCGCCACGCCCGGCGTGTGCCCTGCGCCGCCCTGCCGGGCGCTGCCAAAGAGTCCCCAAAAACGCGCGGGCCGCCTTGCGATCCAAATGGAGTCTGTCAAGTGCCGCCGCCTGCGCTGCCCCGCCGGAGCGCGCCCGCGGCCCCGGCCGCATGCGGCAAGGCGACCGCAGAGCGGGATGGAATGCAATGCGGCGGGGCAGGGGATCAGAAGTACTCCAGAGAGCTGCCAGGAGTGTGCGGCCGCCCGCGGGGGGGCGTCGGCGGCCGCTCCTCGTTGACCTGCCGCGGGCGGGGTGGGGCGGCCGCGCGTTTTTCAAGGGCGGGCGAGGGGTCGGTGGGGATGGGGGCGGACCGCGGGCGGCGGGGGGACGAGGGTTGGCCGGGGCCAGGGGGCAGTGACGCCGGGCCGCCAGGACGAGGGCAGGGGCCGGCTGGAGCGTGGGGCCCGGCATCTGGAATCCATGTAATCCAGGGCGCAGGCGGCGGGCCGTGCCCTGGGGGGGCGCGACCCCAAAAGCCAGCCGGCCTTCGGGCGCCGCACGCGCGCCTTCAAATGTTTGGAAAGGGAAGCAGCGCACCTGTGTCATCCATGTGTCGCTGCCAGGCGGCTGCGGCGCCGCCAGGTCCTCGTCCGCGGCCACGCCGCTGCGGTGGCGGGGGGAAGGCGGGGGGGCGGGGCGGCGGCGTCGACGAGCGGAGAAAGGCGCAGGGGCGGCACGGCCCACGGCTTGCAATCACATGCCCCCTCATGTGTGCCCCCATCAAAACACAAGGGACAAGGCGGGTTGTGATCCATCAACGGCCATATCAAGGGATGGGGATGTGGGCCGCACCTGTCTGGCGTGCGGGGGGAGGCGGGCGGCACTGGGTGTATGAGCTTTGGCACCATCACCAGGTCCCGGCCCAGCACCAGGATGGCGCCCGCGTTGCCTGGGGTGGAGGACGGAGGGGCACGGACGGTCGGGCGCGTGGTTTGTATGGGCGATTTTTTAGTCGGCGTCGATTGATTGGGCTATCTCGTATCGGGCGTGGCCCGGGGTCGTTGAGGGGAGTGAGGGTCGGCGGCGCTTGCCGCTGGGGGGGGGGGCCTGGTGGGGCAGCAGCAGCTTGAGTCGGCGTCGGGTTTTGACACCTGGGGGCCGCAATTCGAAATCTGAGCGGGAAGCCCCCAACCAGGCGCACGCACGCGGCGCACGGCAGCGGCTCGCGGCGCGACAGCCACGCAGCGTGGCGGTGCGCCCTTCCTGAGCCATACCCGGCATGGCTGCCCCGCCGCCAGGCCCCCTTTGCACGCACATGAAGCTCGACGGACTCTGATCGGATCTGAGATCGCCTCGACAAAAGCGTTCGATCTCAGGTCAGATCTGGTCGGGAAGCCGTGACCGCAGATCGCGTCATGATCGGCGATCGCGTCCCAAAGAATCAAGAAAAACCCCAGCAAGGACCCTGGCCGGCACCGGCGCCCACCAGCAGTGCCGCAGTAGTTTGTGGCGCTGAAAAGAGTGATGAGGTGGCCCTGGGCAAAGCGCTCAAAGCCGTCCATCACGCACTCGTGGGCGCGCACGATCATCTGCAGCCCGTTCTTCTGCGGATTTTGAATTTCGAAAAGCGGCGGGAAGGGGGTGAGCGGTCGGGTCCGGGGGGTCGAAACAGGTGTTTTGAGTGCTGACGGGAGATACAGAGGGAACAGGGGGTGCAGATGCTGCCAGGGAGGGGGGAGGGTGGCAGTCCCGGCTGCCGACGCGGCGGCGGGGCAGGGGTGC